ATAGTTTACTTACTTTCTTAATGCGGTTACACGTGACGTGATGTTATCCAGAAAGTTAAGAACTAATAATCGGGATTGTTTCTTTTATTAATGTCTGAATATATTATATACGATTATTTCCTCAGTGGTGGCACGTGATGTTATCCGGAAATAATTTACTTATCTTCTTAATGTGGTTACACGTGATGTTACTCAAAAAGTGAAGAGCTAATAATTGGGATTGATTCGTTTATTATTTTCTGAATATATTATATACCATTATTTCCTCAGTGGTGGCACGTGATGTCATCTGGAAATAGTTTACTTACTTTCTTAATGTGGTTACACGTGATGTTACCCAGAAAGTGAAGAGCTAATAATTGGGATTGATTCGTTTATTATTTTCTGAATATATTATATACCATTATTTCCTCAGTGGTGGCACGAGATGTCATCCGGAAATAATTTACTTACTGTATTAATGTGGTTACACGTGATGTTACCCAGAAAGTGAAGAGCTAATAATTGGGATTGATTCGTTTATTATTTTCTGAATATATTATATACCATTATTTCCTCAGTGGTGGCACGAGATGTCATCCGGAAATAATTTACTTACTGTATTAATGTGGTTACACGTGATGTTACCCAGAAAGTGGAGTGCTGATAATTGGCATTGTTTTGCTTATTATTTTCTGAATATACTATATACAATTATTTCCTCAGTGGTGGCACGTGATGTCATCCGGAAATATAAAACTTGCTTTCTTAATGTGGTGACACGTGATGTTATCCAGAAAGTAAATAATAAACTGTTTCAACCTTTTTTTATAAATAAAAAAAAATTTAATATATAACTCTTGTAACGAGTATAAGGAAATAAAGTTTGACGCGCACAAACATGATGGTGGTAGTGGTTACTGTCGGAAAGGAAGAGCCGGATCTGAGCGCTGCTGGCCTAGTTCATTGATTGAAATGCCCACGCCGGCACACCTCTTGCTTACAGCCGAGAATAGTATCCTCAAAGAGCCTTCAGAAGGGGTCCGTCAATATTCACTCTCTCAAAACTAGAAAAGTGTGCCTCCCCGAAATATCGGCAGCCCTTAGTGAAGTAAAGACGTTGGAGGAGTGGACAGAAGATCACTACAAAAGTCGCTGAACGTTTGGGTAAGATTCTAATAGAAGAGTAGGCGAAGGAACATAAGGATAGATTGCTTATAAGAAAACTCAACAGGCCATACCAACTAGGTTTTAGTATAGCAGATTTAGCAAATTTAACTTCAGCGTTAATACCTAAAGAAATGACAAAATTTGATATTAATTAAACAAATATCAGAGATTTGATTTATCTATCTATCTCTCTATGGTAAAGGTCTATACAACTAGACCTTTACCATGAAGAAACAAAGAACCGTTGACAATTAAATATCATCATATGTTAGACAGAAGCTTTATTAATAGAACTCCAAGACATTGAACGGGAAAAAATTCTCTTTGGTGACCATTTAAGTGAAAACATCAAAACGACCAAGTCAATAGAGGAAAAGCAACCTGCACAACAAAAGATTACAAGTCTTTGCTCCTAGGAAATCTATGATCAAAGGTCCACAGGGATACTCAAAGGCGCTAGCGCAAGCTATCGAGCGGACAGGGAGTAGTGCATGCAACCCATGCACTGGCTCGGTACCAGCATGGCCTTAGTAGTCTGCCATTTGCACGTTGCAGCCAGCAGCACGTCGCCCACCACCACTCCCACCGCCGACAAACCAGCCGCAAAACTACTGCGGCCGCCAGGGTAAAGGTACCACACGCTGGCTGTATCTAATACTTATTACACAATTGGTTAGACTAAACAACCTATCCCCAAATATTGAACATTAAAGGGCAATTTATTAATGTTTCCAACTCGTAGAGCCAGGTAACCCGCCTGTTTCCAAGACCGAAATCTTAAAATCGGTGAAATATCTTAAACTTAGGCGTTTAAGATATTTGTGATCAATTGTGCCGTTCAAGAATCCCAATGGTCAATTTATATCTCTGACATTTCATATTCCTAAAATTCACGGGTCATATAAATGTATTCTTAATTCTGAAGTCACTTCAGTCTACATTATTATCTATAGATGCATTCATGGCAACAATTCATCTTAAATAAGTATATTTTTGGTTACAGTTACAGTATATAAATACTCTAGAAAGTACTTAAGATTCCGTTTTAATAATAATTTGTATGAATTTACCTGCCCCCCATCCAGCTTGCGTATAGCTCCGTCTTACGTTGTAAGGGTCTAAAATTAATAAAGTATTTTGATCACGGCAGACGACCATAGCTTGTGCTTAATTTCAATAATAGACGTTATTATTTCTATCAGGTTTGTGATAAATTAGGATAAAAGTGTACACCTAGTAAAACATGGATATTTCTTGGACATCTATTGAATTCACAGCATATAACTTTAGAATTTACATCAGAAAAATGTTGTAAAATTGACTTAAATTAAAATTGAAATGATTATGAATATAGACATATTCGCCAAATCGGAAGTCGAAATAAAAGTCGCTCAATTTCAGGATAAACTAACGGCTGCTTGTTATTTGTCCAATCGTAGCTTATGTATTGATATATATTCTAAGCGCATTGAAAAATATCTTGCTCTACTAGGACAGGTTATTTTCAACTAGAAATTTTCTCTGAACCTCACTTTCAGTGTGAAAAATATCGTGCAACGGCAAACAGTAAGCGGTTTTTTTATATCTTGACAGAACAGGAATTTAGTGGGTTTAAACAGTACATAACTCTAGCAATATGGCAGTGGTGCGACGAAGAAAGATTTTCATATTTGAGTCGTATATAAAAGTCACGACGTAATCTAATATTGATACGGAGTTGGAATTGCACAATTTTTTTTTCTGAGAAACAAATGATTAAGTGGTCAGCCAGAAATAGATATATTTGCCGCTCGAATTTATGAAAATTTATTAAAATTCGTATCGTTGAAACGAGATCCAGATTCTATAAATATTTCAATTATACTGAAGAGCATTCGAAAAATTATTAATGATGTGGCGACATATATAGCACCTTATTGGCTTAGTCACCCTTGGTATTCCCGTTAACCATTTCTAAGTTATTATATTTTAGTATTGAGAAAAACATTTTGCAATCCCCTTTCACGACAGTGCAGCCTTACCCTGGTGTGCGCAACTTAGTTTGCAAAGCGTTTGCCAGACAGTCATTAGATAATGATAATATAACATAATGATTCAATGGTTATCCAATAACATGACTCTGAAATATAATAATATATTATAATATTATAATAATATGTACAATTTATGGTTTTCCATTGGTAAAACCAATAACTAAGTTATTTCAGTGTTTCAGTTTATATATTTATAACAATTCTTACAACTTACATTTTTAAAGGGGTGCTAAATATAGCACGTTAAATTATTTTCGATCAGCTTGTTCAATTATATTACGTACAGAAACTTGTGTTAATGTTATTGTCAGAAGATTTTTATAAAATGTTTTGAGGACATGACCTAATTTACCTAAATATAAAAATTCATAGGATCTAAACTTAGTTTTATCCTACCTATCTAAGAAACACTAAAAATAATTTAAATATAAATATTAGGAGACTCTTAACTCTGTTCACGTTGGCTACTGGACAACATATTCAGACGTTAACACTAATCAAAATTAATAATGTATCATTCAATGAAAAAAGTGTTCGCATTGGTATATACTATAGACAAACTTTTAAAAACTTTAGTGTAATATGATGAATCCAAAATTGATAATTCCATGTTACCACGAATAACCAGTTTGCCCAGTGAAAGCTTAATTATTATTAATAAAAGACTTAAGTAATCGGGTTCAGATATGTTCATTTTAATTATTAATAATCTAGCAGTAAATCCCAGTATACAATCTTTAAGACGCTGGATTTAAACAAATCCTTAAAGGATAGCGTCATTGATATCAGCGCTTATCCGTCACGTTAAGAAGCACGCCGGTATCTTCCTCCAATGACATAAAGCGTACCTGCAGCTGGCTAATCCAGCTGTTCTCTTTGTTCCACTAAGTTATGAAACTTGCCGTTAAAAAAAAAACCCAACAAGATAGAGCTTTGTTAAATGCAAGATTAAGTAGAACTAAATGATTTAGTACTAAGTGTAATTATTGGAATTAATATATTTAAAATGTTGGTTAGTTTTCCATAGCGATTGTAATTCTCGATGCATTGTTAAATTAACTATACTGGTTATCCTTTTCTATAGAGTTGTTCTTTTTATTTCATTACTCTGCAATGGGGCACTAAACATCTACATAATTTATTAAATCTCATAGGATGCAGCAACGAAGTATAATTTATGGTTAATGGAACTTACCTTAAGTGAACTTCAACCAAAATTATACGAGTTGCTGCATCCGTAGAGATTTAAGAACCCAACCCTCCCTAAATTAAAACCCCTACTTAATTGCAGAGTAAAAAATTCGTCGCTACTCTAAAAAGAATGATCAAAACGCCCGGCCGGCACAGCAGGCTGACAGTGGCGTGCAAAAGTCAATAGACTATCTTTTTATTATTGAATTTTTTGTAAAAATAATATCTAAAATTTGTGTGATGATGCAGTAAGACAGAAAGCGGACTACATAGTTTATTAAATCTCTACGGATGCAGCAACTCGTATAATTTTGGTTGAAGTTCACTTAAGGTAAGTTCCATTAACCATAAATTATACAATGTTGCTAGATATAAAGTATTTTACTTTTAATAATGTCTCTCATATTCATTTTTGGAGGGAAAGAATGGTAGAGAAACTAAATTCGAATGATAATGATGACGTTCTTCTCACCATGTTACAATTACCTACATGAATCTAATAATAGATGCTTCGAATCGCACACGGGACAAGCATTATACAGAATGATTGGAAGATTGACTTGTTGCTTGAAGAAGATCATTTAGGTCATAATTATTTTAGACAGTCTGACTATACTTTTTGTTTTTGGTGATAAAACTAAAATTTTTACAGTTAATTGCTAATAATTGCCAATTTAACTAACGTCCGTTTTTTTTTTAATTTAAGTAATGAATAAGAAATCTAAGAACACATAGTCTCAGTATCTGTGTCATCAGACATATTTTTGTACAGACACTAAGTTCACGAAAATTTTCTACGATTTAAAGAAACATAATTAACATTTTAAATAATAAACATTTTTGACACTACGTTAAAAAAAACTGATGGTACTTTAATTTATTGTTAGAACCTTTTTGAAAACATACTTGGTTATAAGAAATGCAGGAACGCGATGGATTCCTGTGCATTGTGGCATTCCGTGGGTGAGACCTATGTTCAGCAGTGGACTTGTGAAGGCTGTAATGATGAAGATCTAATGATGCAATGCGCTCATCTTTTCATTTTAATTTTTATAGGATAGGGTGACAAACGAGCACACAGTCCACACGATGATAAATGGTCGCTGTGACCCATAGACATCTACATCTGTCCTCAATAAAGAATCAAAATGCAGATGCATTGTCACCCATGAGGACTACGATGGAATCCCTCTTTTCCAGTAAAAAAGGAATCCAGTTCTCTACAATCACCATACGAAACACAGCAGTGTTAAGCTGCTATTTTACACTGGTATTCTGTGAGAGCATGGTCCTTCCCCGGTCGAGCCGACCCATTCGTGCTATAACTATACTACTAATATAGCTGCAGCATGGCTCTACCACAACTAAAATGGAATGACCCACAGCCTGTGATTATTCTGACTCTATACCCATCAGAATGGAACACAGCAGTGCATGCACTGCTATTTGACGGCAGAAATAGGTAAGAGGAGGAGGGAGGAGTCCGTCTGGGCAGGCACAATTAGATCAACTCCTAGGCAAACATGGAGTCACACCACCTAGTACTGACGCTAAGAAGATGGCAAAGATAATTGGTTGCTTACCAGTATGTATCTTAGTGACATACATACTAGCTGACAGGGTAAAAATATTTCTTAATGTATTAATAAGAGTGCTTTTGACATGCACTTTGAATTTAGACAAAGGAAAATCAGTGAATCAGTACATTACACATGAAGCCCTCTTTATTTTGTGTCTACGGGCTACAGTAACCACTTGCCATAAGGTAAATTGTACCTTATTTTAGTAATATCAAAAAAGGGGTGTTACGGCCTACGGCTGCTCCCTTAAAGGATCCAATCTTCAGGGGCCCATGAGCTGATGATTTCTCGAACAGACGCAGGTCGGGCCCCAACGGTACTACGGCCAGTCGACCGGAAGGAATTTGGATGAAGCTTACTTACCTGTCCAAGGCGACTGGTCCCTCCGGAGTCGGTCAGGTCGCATGTGGTTGTGTAGTGCAAGAAAAGAATGGTGATGTGGTGTGTATCTGGGTGTGACTGATGGTTATTGAACCTAGACCTTGGCCGTCGGCAGCAGCCCGAGCGTCGACACCGCTCCAACTTGAGGGCGCCTTTCGAGGTTGTCCACAGTCACTTTCTTCTTTCGTCACGATGACAGTCAATTAACTCTATCGTACGATTTACTAACTTACAGAAGCCACTAACTATCGCTGGTTATAAGGTTAACACACAAAACGCACACGGAGTTTACAATTTATTAAAGGTCACTACCGTTTCGCGTTGCAACAGTTATTTCTAGAATATCGTGAAGCCGCACTAGCTAATATTGCCCAATGCACTTATGCCGATTCTGAGTCGAACACAATGAGTCTCTGGGAAGCTCTCCAGCAGGAATGCGCGTCACAATGATAGACCGTATATTTACTGGCCGCGCCGAATTATTCCGAGTTCCCTAACAGAATACAGCGTGCCAATCGTTAGCACCGCTTATGGACGACTGACAGCCCTTGGGCGTTTTACGCACGACCGAATGTCAAACCGGTATGACACTGAGCCGCACGCCCTCTCGCGTTCGTTCCTTGAAAGTGTTTGGCGCGAACAAGGGGTATATCTTACCTGTTTCATGATTCTCATTTACTTCCAATTTGGAATTCTCATATTCGAAAATCTCCTCCTCAACTTTAACGGCATCAAGGCAAAAAATTTCGTACTTGCAATCATTGTCTATATCACACTCTACAGGCCAGATGTCTATATGATAAATTGGTGTGAATTTAATCTCACCTCTAACCTTATGCGGTTCTGGTATTGACTGAAAGGAAATAATTTTTTCAAATGAGAGAAAAAGCCACTATAGTGTTGGAGTAGGAGAACCCATACTACCCCCTGCCATCCCGCAGATGTCGTAAAAAGGGGCAGAGGGAAACTGAAACAGGAGATCGGGGGGCAGCATCTTCCTGACAACAACTTCAAATAATAATAAACACTGGACAAAAGTGAGGGTTCAGCGTAAACTTAAATAAGAATGTACATAGTTCATCTATCCCGAGAATCGTGTCTCAACAACTTTTGGATTCAGATTCACGAAAGCTGTAAATTGACAAAGATTTATCTTTGTTTATTGAGATTTGTTTATATACAATAGGGTAATATATAACAGTATAAACAGTTTGATAATTGTTTTTGTAAAAATAAGGACTATTGCTCTAACAAAAGTAAGTTGGATTGAAGGACAAACTTAACTTTGAACACTAGAAACATTCTCCCATATAGTAATGGGAAGCAGCATAGAAAAGTGGATTGTGCAGTGACGGTGTAAGAATATCCACTATCACAGGGTTGGCAACCTTATATATATATATATATGGTATTATTAGATAATCACTTATTATTTAAGTAAAAAATTAAAACAAACATTTATTTACATTGTAAGTCTTACAACACTAACTTATACCTCAAGTACGAACAATTGAGCAAACAAATTCAATGGGAGTTTTGGCTTTGCATGGTTTTAGAAAGTTTGGATAAATTTGGCTTAAATAACTTGTTGTTTTAAGTTTCAAACACGAATCTGAATTTTACTTTTAATTATATTCATGCAAGAGAATGCTTGCTCGCACGAATATGTCGATCCGAAGATAGTCAGCACTCCAAATGCCAACTTCTTCACCTCACTATAGCAATCTGGAAGACTATTCCATGCGTCAAATATAACTCAACTCGCAGCCTTTCTTTTAAAGCCATTCATTTTTGTTGCGTTACGTACATACATTTCTGGACCTCCAACTTTTTCAACTTCCTTATCAACTCTGTAAATTTTCAACTCCACAGAGGTTTACTTTTTAAATCGATCAATTGGATTTCTAGAGATCCAGTATCAACCCCAAATGGCTCAGTATGGATCGATTTATAATTTTTTTTATAAAATAAATAATATTTGCGTATGAAACTAGAGCCGCAGTTTCACATCCAAAGAGCCGTATGTGGCTAGCGAGCCGCAGGTTGCCGACCCCTGCACTATCCTATATACCTATCCACGGGATGGGTGTCGTAAGAGGCAACAGAAGGAAACAGAAACAGAGGTAGGGCGGCCGCATCTTCCTGATGACAACTTAGACTAATATAAACTACGGTTGCCAACTTGCCAAGTGTGGCAAATTTGGCAAAATCCCTCCTATGAAGCAATCTATGAGTGAGACCTATGTTCAGCAGTGGACTTTTATAGGTTTTAATGGATGGAATGGATAATACCATGGATCCTCCTGAAAGCAACTGCTCCAGAACCACATTTGACTCAATAGCCTGTTGTTGTAATCTTCTGCAACGAATGAGTCTTGCATGACAGGTGAAACAGATTATTATTGGTCCCTCATTCTCATCCAACTGAAAATATGAAAATCTTCATAAATAAGAAATAGTATTCAAATACATAAGTGTATATAAGTTTGTAATAAAAATTATTGGCTATCATATTTTAATTTGTCAACATCATTTTTTATAATATTGAAGTGACAAATAAACTTACCATCTAGTAAGTGACTAATGGGCATCATGGGCACCTGCAACGAACTTCAAGCAATGGCTATAGATGCAATGTTACCTCTGAAGACTAAGATGTAATGCATCACAGCCTGGGTCTCGATGTCCTTCAGACTGGGACACATACTGTTGCTTGGTGCCAGAAAATGGTAAGAGGATGATATCTAGGCAGAAAGAAACTCCTACAGTTCCAAACCACCTACATCCATCAACTACATTACCTACATTAACTTCAAACTGCTATCATCACTAAGAACATTACAAATACTTCTCTTATCACTATAAGTGAACTGATAATGCTTGTGGTAGGAGGATATTGAAACAAAACACAGGATGGTGGGTGGTACTACACATTCCGTGAAAGTGTAGTACCACCCCGGTCGAGCCGACCCATCCATGATGCAACCTTAATATAGCTGCAGTCCGGCTCTACCACATATAAAATAATGATAATAAGTCTTTCTACTCTATTCTCTCATTTTAATAGTCCGATAGAACTGTTTTAATTTGCTGAACAACCAAACCAGGGTAAATGTTAATTTGTTGATAAAAATCACAATAATAGTCATTCAAGTAATATGTACTAGAACAGACACCAGGAACAAAATCTATGCAGCAGTGCGGGTTGCATGGAAGGAATGGAAGGAGAATGTAGTACAATTAAGACCCAGATATTTGACACTTCACTAATCTACATGCTCAGCTTTGGAAAAATCTAGTAGACTTTAGACAAGCTAGGGAGGCCCTGCCTGAAATAAACAGTCATTTAACCAAAGTTCTAATGAGACTGAACAAGCCGCAGATCAGGATATAACAAGTGCTATCACAGGACATGGCAACTTTAACAAGCATTTATTTACTATAGGTGTTACAGATAATCCCTTGTGCAGGGCATGTCTGGGGGAAGAAGAAATGGTGGCCCATGTGATATTGTAATGTCCAGAGGTCGCTACGTACAGGGCTAAACATCTCGGCACGCCGAGGTCACTGCCCAAAGTTGCATGCAACATCAAAGGACTGTTGAGCTTCTTCGGGGAGATCTCATGGCTCGAATAAGCATATTATTCCTGCCCACACGTAAAATACACGCATAGATGTGGAGTTGCGGAAATCAGCCCGTTGTAAACTATACTAAACTAAGACCCAGATACACTAGGAGCCATTTTGTCCCGCAAGATGATGTGGAACACTCAATCTACATGACGATGCTACATTGCACAGTGACCCAGAACATTGTAAGTGACTTGGGACATGTTGCTTATTCCCTCTCCGAGAGAGAGTACACGTGTCCGGCGTCAGTGTCACGTCATTTGTTACCGGGTGTAGTTGTGTGTACAACTTTACTTGCAACATGTCAGTTGTGTGGGGAAATTAAACCGTGCTTTTACTTCTTGAACTTAACCAGAGTCATATTTTGTTATGGGATACTTCTAACCACTAACTTCTGGTGCTATTCTGCCGATCAGTTGTTTCAACACTCGAAAAGTGTATGACAAAGAAGCATAAAAAACTCTAGTCAACAAGTATCTTAATGCAATTGCAAGTCTGATACTGATATGAGGGCAACAGCATTCCATAGTATAGTATCCTGTTTGGTTATGGAAGATCCGATCATTTGTTATAACGTTTCAAAATCAGATGTTGACATTCGAGTAAAATTCACAAAAGATCCGTCAGACATTCGTAGATCACTTAAAATATCTATTCCTCTTCCTTCTCATTGTAGTAAGGAATTCTGATTCCACCACCTTTTCTTTCGCTTACGTTTCACTCCCGCAATAAGCACTACGTACACAGCACTAATCGCCACAACCTCTTTGGGAGACATTTCTATAAGCACTGACTACTGACTAGTGTGGCCTGCAAAAAGTTCCGCGACATGTCTCGGGACATTCCACGTATTAGTTGAGACATGTTGCGCAACATGCCGCTCCTTCCGTACCCAAGTATATATCCTACTAGGCTTTACTTAAATGATAATACTGATTTTAGTGCGACCCAGGATACCAGGCTAATTGTTATTTTTCAGGTTCTGGTTGTATTTGTCACTATATTTAACGCTACATCTTAGACAATATATCGGGCAACATAATGTATTTCTCTAGTGATAACAATAAATTACCGCAACTTCATTTAGCAATAAATAAATATTAAAAAACTTACAAAACTGTTCGTCAATGTCTTATACAAATTTTGGAGGCCAGTCTCCTTTAGTGCAAACATGCGTATATTAACGCTTAAACAAATTCTACAAACTTCACCTTCACTTAAGGCCATTGCTGTTTTCTATAGCTTTATTAAAATTGATTATTGAATTCTGTTTTTCATCAACAAATCGGACTTTTCTCTTGTTATTTTTTTTTTTTTGGTGTTTATGGCCTTTAGGCCATTCTCTTGTTATTATTACAATTTATTATCACAGAATACACACAATTTTTTATAATCACAGAACACTATTACTCCTAACACTCCTTGGTATAAAAAGATACTCTATGACTCCTAAAGTTTATAATGCGCCCAACGCGTAGTGTTTCTATATAGTTTGTGTTTTGTTTGTGGCCCAGCGTAGGCTCAGGCAAAAAATACCGATATATTAGTGATGGGTCAACTCGAGTTGCGCTTAACTCGAGTTAACTCGATTTGTATCTCCCCAACTCGAGATTGGGCTGCTGTACATGAAGGAATCAAGTGAGCCAACATAAAAGTAAGAGCGCGATTCGTTCGTTGTGTGGGCGCTTTGTGTTTCAAATAGTATTTAGTTACAGTCGAAACAATTTGTTATTTAGAGATTTATAATAGCTAAGTTACATATGTAATTTAATTTCATTTATAATTTTGATTAATTATGATCATTATAGCTACGCAAGTCACAGACCTATTATATTGTAATATCTGAAAAGGGTGGTTAAGTTGTAAGATACATCATACTTTAAATTAACGCCAAACACTTAACTTAGAATAAATATTTTGAATTTGAAAAAGTTTGAACTTATTGAAGAATATTTTAACTGTGATAATTAATCTAGTAATAGGTTATGTACTTACATCTTAAAGCTAGACTAATATTTTTTCGTGAAGGCTGCTATATAAGTTGTTTTGTTGTTAAATACAGGTACTTTAACTAATATTAAAACTAAAAATACATAAGTATGTGATACATACTAAATATACATTTTCATTTCAATCCTACACAATAAGTTTGGTAATTATGGTTATCCCAACACACCAAAGAGCTACAAAGAAAAACAAATTTATAAAAAAATAATTTCTAACAAATCCTTTACAGAGTAAAAGTTAGCAGTATGAAAAATTTTTTTTTCATACTGCTAACTCGAGTTGCATAACTCAAGTTTATACTCGAGTTGCGTGAATTACAACTCGAGTTAACACGAGTTGAAACTTTTCCAAATTGGCACATCTATACGATATATCGTCGATATTTTAAATCGCGATATATTGATATTTATTTTAGAGTATCGAATTCGTATCAATTTCGATATATTTTAAAATGTTGTATTAATGACAAAACATGTAACAACAAAAGGAGGTACATAAGTATTCATGTGTGGTTGGTTGCCGTTTCCTTTTTCGTCGTCCAACCGTCAATAATATAAAATTATGGACCTTATCTTTACATCATGCATATCGATATTAAATAAATTATAATATACGTAATAAATTTTATCACGCGATATATATCGACGCTGTTTATAACTATCGATGCGATTTTTTTCTTTGCCTATCCATTAGGCCAGCGCCCACATTTTTTTAATAACTGGCTTTACGGCTCTGGGTTCTAGCCCTTCTGATCCTGAAGTTACAATAAATAATTATCCTTAATAGTACACTGCTTCGCAATATGTTGATGCGTCACATTGTGCAGCCCTTGGGAGATTTTAACGGCAACTTAAGCCAGCAGACAGCTGACAGTTGTCGATGGCATCTCAAGGCGCCTAAGCAGACAAACACATTATTTTAAGAATCACATCACCATCAGAGCAGTTGTTTCACCGTTTACTACCGTCTACTAATAGTTCACATGCGCAGACACTTAATACACAAAATCGCACCACTTTTACATATATAAATCCACTTCAAACCATTATTTAAACAATAATACAGTAGCAGTAAACCGCTGTCGATCAAGTTCCCGCCCAAACTCAAGCGCCCACAAACTAACTAGTAGATTCTACCAGAATCAGACCATAGATATAGTATTAAACTCGTAGAGAGAGAAATATAGATAGACAAGACCTCAGCGTATGTCAGTAAGAGATAGCGATAGTTCGCCAAAGTATATTACTACAATTACATGTAATTTAAATTGACATACTTAAATTTTTACCACCATTGTGTGGGTAATCTAGTTCTTTTTATTTCGGTTGTACTGAGTCAACTACTAATTTAATTAATTTTATTTTCTATGGGGACGTATTTCTGACTATTTGACTGTGCGCGAACTGAATGACTCTGGCATGAACATTAAGCACGAAGAGAAATGTGTTGTAATGATCATTTTATTACAATTTATCTAAGATATCCTCTCAGAAGCCAATTTACATAATTTTCTGTTGTTACTTAATAAATGCCCTAGTTAGCGGTTAAGGAATAATTATTTATAATTATTTTGACTATATACTTTATTTTAACTTTTATTGTATGACTTGAGCTGTGATGGCTGATATTTTATTAGATTTAGGTGGAATTGTTTGCGGAAATGTTAGGGAATAAGGTATTAAGGTGACACTAGTCGACAATATTTCCATTGATTTCCATACAAATTTCGGAGGGGTTTTACTACGCTGTTTGACAGTGTACATCCAAAGTTAAACATGATATCGTTTTGTCTCATTATCAAATTTGTCTGTACGGAAACAGAATAGTAAAATAAAATGTTATTAAAAAGTTACGAGCTACCAAAGATTCGTTTTTATTGCCAATTTTAACACAACTTTGGGCGTAAATTAGTAATAAAAGAAGTGTGAAATTTCCAAAACAAAGTCGGTACCGACACAGCTCAATTATCGAAGAATTCAAGAAATTTTATTCGTAATTAATTTATGCAGTGGTTTTTTCATAAAACCCCTTCTTCCAAAGGCCTTTTCGTATTTTTTTACGCGCGTATGTTACTATGAATTATCGTGCATCTCACTGAATAATGTTTGCCCCGGTGCGGTGCGGGAGGACGACGCTTACACACACATGCACGGGCGGTGACGCGGGCTTATTCGAGTTTTATTCGAAACGAAAAGTTTTGCTATTTTGTAATTTGGACGCCAAAGACAAAAGACAGCATGGAAATTGATATAATTGAAAGAGATGATGCGTTTTGGACGACAGACAATTTTGTTTTTTATTTCAATTTTCGTCTGTAATATAATATAATTATAAAAGAAAAAAAATTAAGTCTATAATATACGATTACTATATAAAATTGCAACAATTTCATTGGTGCCGACGGGGATCGAACCCGGGTTGCTCGCGTAGTGTGATACTTACGGCGAACGATAACCATCTGAGCTACCACGGCTCTCAATGCAAGTGTTATAAATAAATAAAGAATTACAAAACAGTTTAATTATTTATTAGACGACTCTTGCGGCGGACAAACAAGGTATATTATGTGGGATTTTCATAGGTACCTACTGTTATTACCTAGATACCTACAACCTACAATACAACAAAATGTCACAAAACGTCACCGCGTCGTGGCCACAAAATTGTAAACTTTAGGTAGGTACGTCAGTACTAAGAAAACAATCTTGATGGGTCACTTGTCTTGATAAAAACCTGTGTTTACGTTTAGTGATATTGAGTATATATAAAAAAAAGTAAGAAGACAGGTAAGTATTTTTGAAAAAAATTTATAGGTAAGCAGAACTAATTACAATTATTATCTAAATATTATAAATGCGAAAGTTTGGATATTTGGATGGACGAATGAAAGGATGTATGTTATTCAATCACGCCAGAACCGCTGAAGGGACCTGGATGATATTTTGCTCAGAGATAGGTTATAGTCTGGAATTTTATTTTATTTTATTTTTTAAAAATACATTACCCCCGCACTAGCATTTTCTCCTGTATAGTGGAAGCAGTTTACAAACATCCAGACCCGGAACAACTATTTGTAGGCCATACAAATTTTTTTTTTCTTATTTAAAAAACGTTACACCCACACTAGGAGTTTCTCCTGTATCGTGGAGGCAGTTTACAAACATAAATTGCACAAGGACAAACATCCAGACCCGGAAGAATTATTTGTAGGCCATACAAATACTTGTTCCGTGCGGGATTCGAACCCGCGGCTCCCAGTAATATAAAATATTTCGTTCCCGTGGGATAATTTTTGCAGTTACACACGTTCGAAGCCGAACTCTTGAGTGATCGCTGCATAACCACTCGGAAAAACTAAACATAATAAAATAAGCAATCTATATTAGGTATATAGAGCCACAGAGGTATAATATGAAGCGATAAAGCAGCGCCTAATCATTTCGCGGTTTCACCCGCGTCATCATGTGTCCGAGATGCATGGCATGACATGACACCTAGTTTTATAATTGCAATCAAATATTTTATTTGATAATAATGTATGGAAAAATTGTCATAATTAATGAAGTACTTTTATTTTATCTGTCGGCATACTATGCGCGGTTTTATTCAGTTTTAAAGAAAAACGTACACGATACATGAAAAGTGTGTAGGCAAGAAATGATTCTTGATACATTTGCTATCAACCTCTTATACTCTTATACGGCTCCGTGGCGCAGTGTCTTAGCAATGAGTTGCTGAGCAGGGGGCCGCGGGTTCGAATCCCGCACGGATCAAGTATTTGTATTTGTATGGCCTACAAATAATTGTTCCGGGTCTGGATGTTTGTCCTTGTGCAATTTGTGTTTGTAAACTGCCTCCACGATACACGAGAAAATCCTAGTGTGGGGGTAACGTCTTTTTTTTAAAGAAATAAATAAAATAAAAACTTATTAATCAATTAAACTTTCAAAATACCATAGCAACGTGAAATGAAAGAGTTCAGAATTAACTAATCATTGTTACGCTCACCTGGGAGATAGATAAAAGCACTCAATTAATTTTGAATTTATTTTAGCTACCAGCTGTTCCCCGCGACTTCGTCCGCATTTAGTTTAGGGTGTTAATTTTGTTGCACGGACGCCTAATAATTTTTCTAAAATTTAAGCATTCTAAGTTACTACTTATAACATGAGCTATCTACTAGTGAAAGTCCCGTCAAAATCGGTCCAGCCGTTTTGGAAATTAACCGGAACAAACAGACAGACAGACAGAAAAATGTTAAAAATTGTGTTATAAGTAGCGTATATAATTTCATATGCAATTAGTAAAAAGCTGTTATTTTGACATTATAACAGACACTTCA